ACACACACACACACACAGCAAACTGTCTATAACAGGCAGCCAAAATCTTTACCGTTATCCTCTGGATTGCCAAGACTCACACACGTGCACCTAAAGTGAAGACTCCCACGCAAAGAGAAACGAGCAGGGCATAGAAGAGAATATTCAGAGTTGATGCACGCCAGGCCTCCAGTATAAATCTGCCCATGTATGGACACAAACACCCTGCAAGTGTGTGTCTGTGTGTCTGTGTGTGTGTTTCTAGATCTTATGATGTCTTTAATTTTCTGCCCCATTTCTCTCCACCATGTAAGGTTTGCCATTTTCTCACACAGGCTTATATTCAGCGATGACGTGCGCTGTTGTTTCTCTTACAGTATAACTCAACTAAGCAGCGGTAGTTGAATATTGTTACACTCTCAGCATATGTACACATTGGTGTGTTTCTCTCAGGCGGGGCCCACAGTTGTCAGTTAGTTGTAGGAAAGCTTTTGTGCGTGGGCGTTCGTGACAGTTAAACGCTGGGTGGTCTAAGCTTGAACATTGTAATAGCTTCTTTTCCACATAAAGCCACAGACGGATATAAAAGAAAACTGGGCATGTTTCTGACATATTGCTTTCTCCTGCCTCAGTGTTTTCACCTGTATTTTTGATGACAGGATTATGTTTAAGGAGGATTTTTTTTGGAATCCTGCCCAGAAAATCGGAACTAGTGCTATTAATAAAAAATACGCCTGACCTCAACAATGTTTTATCAAGTGGAAAAATAGCTTTTTGCTCACTTGATTTAGGAAGATTCAGCAGGAAGGAAGTACAAACCGACTATGTTGAGGTTTGGAAAAAAGACCCCCTCACTGCTGAAACTGCCTGAAATAAAAGGCTTTAGTTAGGGCGGGGAGCCCCTTGAGGGTATTCCAGAATATTTTGTGGTTTTCTTCATTTCCCAAAATCCTACTCTAAGGAACTGAACTCCAGTTAGAGTTAAAATGTTTGTCTTGGATCTAATGGATGGTTTTGTGCGAGGGTGCGTTTGTGTGTGTGTGTGTGTGTGTGTGTTAAAGTTAAAGCCTATTCTTGGTTATTCACTGCCAGTTGCGGATTGTTTGGGTTGGGTTTGTCCTGCCAAGGACCCCATCTATGAATAGCTGCAACTTCAGGTACATACACAACCTCTCTCTCTCTCTCTTTCTCTCTTCTGCCACCATTTATGATTATTTTCCTTTCCCTTTTTTCCTTCTCTTCCATTATTTTCTTTTTTTCTAATGTTTCCATCCCTGTGTTTATACATCTATATAACTTATTCCAGTCATGCTGCTTCTCTCTTTTTGTATCTCCCCTTTTGTTTTTTTCTTTCTCCGTATTCTTCTTTGTTTCACTATTTATATCTTCCATGTTCACCTGCATTTGTGCATATACTCTTCCGTAATATCCATTTCATTTTCCATGTTCTCTCTCTCTCCCACCTCCAGACTACCTGAAGTTTAGCAGTGACTATAGCCATGCGGTGGTGGGCGGCACCAGCAGTGCTAGGGGCATGCGATCGGCCTCCGAGCTCCGGGATTTGATGGACACCCTGCAGCGCAAGAAGATTGCCCTGGAGAACAGCCTGAGAGCCAACGGGAATGCTAACCCCTCCTACTTCAGCGTGACACAGGTCGGCCATCATTTAGCTCCGCTTCGGGATTTATTACTCTTGTTTATGTCACAAAGCCTAAGTGGAAAACTGCTTACCTACTAAAGCCTATAATTATTTATTACGTATATCTCTTCATCTCTGGCATATTTATGCATTAGATATTACAATAAGATGGGATTTCAAAGCATTTCCAATGTTCTTATTATTTTTTTTCCATTCTTTGTTTCAGTCTCCACCCACCACACCTATCACGAGTCCTGCCACATCCTCATCAGCCTATCAGGAACAGGCAAGGCGTTTCTATGGCACAGATCGTCCGCCCATGTCTCTGAAATCCGCTTCCCCTCTTTCCCCGGGACGGCGATCCGACCCTTCCTCTTCTCTGGGCTCTCGCACATCCATGGGTCGTAACCAGGACAACTTCGGCGTCAGTGATAGCAGGCGGCCTCACAACCCAGGCTCCTCTACTTTACTGTCCACGTGGAACGGCGGAGGCTCCTCGATTTCCGTTGACGGCAGCAATAACCTCCAGCTCTCTATTCCTCCCTCCTCCGCCTCATCCCGCACTCCATCAGCAGGAGGTGCGGCGAGCATGCCCTCAAGCCCCCGTCTTGGCCGACGTAGCTATGGCAACCAAGAGCCATCGCCCAGCAGTCGAACCCGGAAATACTCGGCAGGCTCGATGACTGGGATGATGGGAGGAGGGCACAGTCGCTCCCTGCCACGCCTCTGCCCCTCTCCATCTCCCCGTGAGAACAACAACGGCGGGCTGACGTTGTCGACGCTGCCCCCGCGGCGATCTGATGTTGCTGGGGGTTACAAATTCAGCAAAGACCATTACAACAACAGCCAGAACGCCAGCCCTGACCTCAACCACAAGTCAAGTAACTCCAGCCAGCTTTCCTCCAGCAGGAATCAAATCCAGTCCACAACTCAGGGAGAAGGTGTCGTGTCTATCTCCCTCTCCACCCCTAAGTTGCCCTCCACCACCCCCATCTCTTCCACAACCGCCCCACCCGACGTGACCATCCCATCCAGGGTGGGGGGCTCTTCTTCTCCTCGTGTGGCCAAAAAACTCAGCCTGACCTCCACTAGCTCTGTGGGATCCATCAGCTCCACAGGTTCCAGCCCTCCAGAACTAGAACGGCTGACCAGCCGTGGAGTCTCCCCGGGAGTGGATCTGTATTTGGGGGAGAGGCGAGGGGTAGGCCCAGAACTCACTGGTGCCCCTGGGATGGGACTTGGAGAGAGAAGGTCTTCCTTTGGGAAGGCGGGGCTGGAAGCTGGAATGGGGCTGGGCGAGAGGAGGGCCTCATTTGGAAAGGCAGGCATGACCCCACCCGGGGGTTTCAGGGAAAGAAGGGGCAGTATCAGCTCACTGAGTGGGAAGGAGGAGCTGACCGACTACCACCATCGCCAAAAAGAGGAGCGACTCCGTGAGCAGGAGGTGGAGAGACTGGTGAGTTTGAGTGTGTTTGCACAGCTTGTTTAAACAGAGGACATCAACCCCCCCCCCCCCCCATCTCCCCAAGATCTGTTCATTTCAACTTAAACCAACATAAGTTATTAGTCCATCAAGGCCATTGGGATTAAAATGACATCTGATGTGTAGATATGGGGTTAATGTGCAAATTAGTCAGGCCTTACAGATGTCCAGACTATCGACAGGTGAGCAGCTTGTTGCTGTTAAGATGGCTGAAAGCAAACGGGATATACGTTTAAATTTGCAGGTGCACATTGCTACTTGTAATGCAATCACAAAAACACACAACAAATGGAATGAGTAGAGGAATGCCTCCCTTCACGCCAGCCTCCTCCATGGTCCTCTCAAACATGCTCTCCCAGAGAGCTACACACACACACACACACACACAACACACACACAGGAAGTTTAGGTTCACCATTTCACGGATGCTCTGGCAGTTAGCCCATACTAACATAACATATCTTAACCCCACGCTTCGGATGTGTGTGTATGTGTATGTGTGGTGCGATGTTTATCGTCGTCATCTGGAGGTCCGCCCAGGCCGGTTTGGACCACTGAAGAGCCACAGAACACATCAGGCAATGTGGGTTAGAGGAACCAAAATTAACAGGGAGCCATATAGTGTAGCAGGTGGATAAACCACAGATGCTCAACATATAATGACAAACTGGACTCCTATCCCCACTATCCTTCTTCTTCATTTTTCTCTCTCTTTCACAGCAGCCAATAAACGTCTTTAACTGTGAAGACATATATTTATGGGCGACTGTACAAACCAACTGTTGCACAAACTCACAGTGGCTTTCAGCAAGACTTCCAGATATTGCCAATGTAGTTCATTTGAAGACGGAATATGTGGACCAAGCTCTTGTGCTCTGATCAGAGAGCCAATTTGCACGTTAACAATATCAAGATGGAAAATATTATTTAACCCAAACAAATGAACCCAACAAATGAAACCACATCAAATAGTATTTGATGTGGTTTCCTTTACAACCAATTATTTTAGTTGTTGCTCAATCAAACAGGGATTTAAGTTATCTATAATAATTGTCAGAATATTTGTTATATAGTATGTATATATATGTGTGTATATATATGTGCTATATATTATATATAAATCTCTCTCT